GAATCTTGATGATGCACTTGTTAGATCTAACTAGTTTTGGATGTTATGATCTTTTGGTCATTTTAGTGCAAAAAGTTTAGATCTTGAAAGTTTGTGACCTTGTTATAGATAAAGTTGAAAACTTTATCCATCTAAACATCATTTTGATTCAAATCTGAAAGTTGGAGACTTGTACTTAATGGGTTAAGTTGAAAAAGATGAACTTTTAGGTCCCTTTGAGACTTAAAGATTAGATCTTGTTTGTTTGGACCATTCTAATGGATAAAGTTGGAAACTTTATCCATTATAAAGCTATTATGAACTATAAAAATGTGATATTGGCCCTTTTATCCCTTCCATGCAAGATTTGTGAAGTCTTATTGGGTTAAGAACTTAGGGTTCTGGACATTAAGCACTTTATAGCCATGCAAAGTCATAAAGTTGGAAACTTTATGGCTTAGGACATCATTTTGGGCTTGGATCTGAGTTTTGGATGTAAGAACTTATTGGAATAAGCTCCTAATGGAGTTTTGGGACTGAGATGAGTACGTTGGGCATACCTGGTGGTACGTTGTGTGTACGCAGTCAGCGCTCTGCTATTGGTCAACATCATAGTACGATGGGCGTACTCCGTTGGGAAGAAATATTGACTTTTAGACCTTGACTGTTGACTTTGACTTTAGCCAGGTTTAACCAAGTTTGACCTAAGGATATTTTGGGTTATTGGGTTAATTATTGTTAGCGTGAGGTTCTCCGGTTCGGTGGTCTGAGCAGTTATTTGATTATCAGCAGACCGAGGTGAGTTTTCCTCACTGTAATTGCAGGTATAATGCACCAAGGCCGGCCCTTTGGATTTAATATCCTAGTATGTATACTATTGTGTTGTACTGATCTGTTAGATCGGTATCCTGGTATATAGGATGATACTATGCTTATTGATCTGTAGATGTGTCTAACTGGTTGTAGACTGTTATATGATTATCTGTTATTTGTGCACATATTTGGCCGGTGGCTGAGGCTTTATTGCTTTGTGCGCAAGCTAACAGGCTGGGGGGGCATACCAAAATGATGGTTGAATGGTCCTGAGGGTATTCCATCCCGAGGATGAAAGGACCTATTATAGATTGGCATTCCAACCTGATGGTTGAGGGGCCTGGGGTATTCCAACCCGATGGTTGATTGAACATATAGTGCATGGGCATTCCAACCTTGATAGGTTGTGGGACGGGGATAATACCACCTCGATAGGTTGTGGGCCCAGTATGTATGGGCATTCTAACCTCGATAGGTTGTGGGTTGAGGGTAATCCAATCTCTATAGGTTGTGGATCCATTGTATATTGGCATTTTGTCCGTGGTATTCCATCCCGAGGATGATCAAACCCAACATGTTGTTTGTTTGTTATTACGTGTATGTGGTGGTATTTTGGGGGAACTCACTAAGTTTCGTACTTACAGTTTTTGGTTTATGGTTTCAGGTACTTCAGTGGACTATGTCAAGGCGAAGGCGTGACAGTACACATCCTTGGTTTTCAACTGATTTGTTCTTGAGAGACTCCAATTTTAAATAATGTTTTGAAAATAATGGTTTTGTAACACTTCTATTAGAAAATGGGTTGTTTTGAAAAGTTTTAAATTTATTTAATTTTTGGGATGTTACATAGGGATTTCAATCCCACAATGTTATTGTTGGATTAGGTACCTAAGCCATAACTATATTTGGTATGTACTTGACCCGGTTGTAGCATGGTCCTTTTGGGTTGCCTTCACCAAAGAAACTCAACTAGATGAATAGTGGAGAAAGAGGTTATTATGGTTTTTTAATATATTATATGAATAATATATTAAAGGAGAAATCATATTTGTTTAATTAATATTGGTCAAGAATTAATTAGAATTAATTGTGTGGTCAAAAGAGATTAATTAAATAAGGGGGCTGATATTGTAATTATAAGATAGTTACAAGGTTGGGCTTAGGATCCATAAGGAAGCAATGGACGAATTCTATGTGGGAGCCCACATAGAAATCGTCTAAGGGGCCTTCTGGAAGGATCCTTTGGGTTGCTTAAGGACTAAGCAACCGAATTAGGGTTTGACTGAAACCCTAATTGCTCAGCTATATATAGAACCCTTGGGCATTCAATTTTTTGCGACCACAACCCTAGAAGGATTCATTGAGCCGAAAATTACCTCTCCCCTCTCTCTCTAAGATTCTCCAACTTGCTTTGGTGTTTGTGATCCATTAGAGGCATTACATTGGAGGTGCTAGGTTCTCATAAGCTCAAGATCATCAAGCTACAATCAAAGGTAACATTCTTACTAGTTTATTTATGTTGATTTCGATTTTGATATGCTAGATCTAGGTTTTGCGAGATTTGGATGATTATTGCATGTACAGATAGAAAACCTAGATCCAAAGCTTTAGGGTTTGCATGTGCACCATAAGATTGATGTTTTGCTCATAACCCAATAGTTATTATATATATATATATATATATATATATATATATATATATATATGTGTGTGTGTGTGTGTGTGTGTGTGTGTTTAGAACTCATAATATATATAATTTCACCTCATATAAACAATTTTACCCCACCCTGTCGATCCTCACAACGACACGATCTATACTCTCGGATCTAAAATTAACCTCTTTACCTAATCCATACTCCCGAATCAAGTATGTCTAATCCATGCTCTCATATCAATATATATGCCCATTCCATACTCTCGGAGTAGGTAGAATTGACTATGTCTAATCCATGCTCCCGGATTAATGACAAATAACTATGTCCTCTCCATACTCTTGGACTAAGGACAAATGACTATGTCTAATCCATGCTCACAGATTAATGACAAATAAGTATGTCCTCTCCATACTCTCGGACTAAGGACAAATGACTATGTCTACTCCATGTTCTTGGATCAACGACAAAGCTTAAAGTTGGACCCTCCATGTATATCTCACCCACACTCATAAGTAGATACTACCCGATATTTATCTCAATTAATTTAGGTTTGTCTGTATCCTAAATCATCATATATTAGCAGATATGCTCTTAACACGTATTTCAGGCAATAAAAAATATTTCACACAAAAAAATATATTTAATACTTTAATCAATATTTGTATTAAAATCATGTTCATGAAAGTAACTATGCACTCACTTGTTAAAGTGATGACTCCAAACTTGGGCAGCGCTTCGCTTCTAACAATTCTATTTTCCTTCGACAAAACCTAGTATCATTATCACTAGATTTTAGACTAATATTTATTACGACTAATTATTAGTCTAGATTTATGAGCAATATTGTTTTATAAGTGTTAAATAAGACTTTTCAACTACTATGTACAGAAAGGGGCCAGACATGGAACACCGGAGGGCGGGACTATTTTGTCATTTAAGTTGTTCTGAAATCCAACAACCCTATGTGGCCCTTCAAACCAGATTTCTCATTCTGCGAGCAATTAAAAGGTATTATAATAACACTTAGTATAGTTTAAAATACTCTCATATATTTTTTATATGTTCATAATAACGATAATGAACGTAAACATAAGCTATACTTAAAGTAGGGTAAGCATAACTCACTTACAATGGAGTTTAGCGAAGAACCGGGCTATGCGCGGGCAGAACATCTGAGCTGAAATCTCTTCTTCTTGGGGCCTTCTACCGCTTCGGGACTCGCTACTAACTCCTAAGAAGGGCTAGAGAAAAGCCTTGAGTCTTTGGGAGTGTTTTGGGAGAAGAGAAGTGGAAATGTGTGAAGAAATGGGATGATTTGCGCCTCTATTTATAGGTTGGAAATGGCTCAACATGGCATGTTTATGAGCCCTACACGACGTGTTGGTGTGCTAAGTTTCATCATTTGGTGGCAAGGCGTGGGGAAGAAGCAGTGGCTTAGATCGCGCCACATGTCACTCGCTGATCACTACAAAAACTAATTACCTTCTAAAATCCTTAACTTTCGCATACAAGTTCCGTTTTAGACGTTCTTTATAACCACACGTAGGTATTGACGGGATCTACACTATCGTTTAGACTCTGTTGGCTAATTTTGAATTTATTTTTAAAGTTATATTTTAACAGACTTAGACATATAAAGTCTGTTAAAAATTAATAACTTTGTCATCCGACGTCCGTTTTCGTTTGTCTTTATATCATTGAGTTCATATCAATGAGATCTTCAATTCTCATTTATATTGTGTCGGCTAAAAATCAATTGATCTAAAATTCAATTTCCGGGATGTGTATTTTTACGCTAAATCTTAGAAAAATAATAACTTCCTCAAACGAAGTCAGATTTTGACGTTCTTTTTATGCACGTTCTCGGTTTAACGTATAATACGACTTTCGTTTAGATCTCTATGGCTAAAAAATATTTTATCAAAAATTCAATTTGTACGATACGCGACGTTGTACCGGTTTTATCCCAAAACGTCAATGTTTCATAACTTCTTTGTTATAAGTCGGATTTCAACGTTCTTTATATGTAAGAAATCCTTGTGATATATATTATGACTTGGTTAAGATTATTATATATATATATATATATATATATATATATATATATATATATATATATATATATATATACACACTAATTTACAAGTGCCTGAACAGGACTTGGCTTTGATTGAACCCTTCCATTTTTTTTAATCTGATTTATTGTAACACCTGTTGTGTTACGTGGTCTTTACATGCTTCCCCCACCGCCTTTGCTATCCAATAGGATGATTACACAAATGCTTCCACCGCCTTAATACCTATATAGCACCGATCGGAATTGTGTCTGCAACGACTTCTAGCCCTAAACATCACGATTTAGGCCTTCAGATGGAAACATCGACCGTGATGTAGTCCAAGCCTAACAATCGTCGGCTCAAATTATGTTTATTCAGAGTGATCGATGGTCGGCGCCTGAACGCTCTTCCGCCATGGATTTCGTCATCACACTCTACAAACTACGGAATCCCGTCCAATTTCACGATTCTCTCTTTGTAAGCCCTACACCCACAAATGGTCCTCGGTCTGGTATTTGATTCTTTTTCCATATGCGGATGTTACCTCTGTCGTTGTCCAATCTCTGCGCCACCGCCTGTTTGGAAGGTTGCCAATAAGATGATCAGTGATTCGGTGCCGAGAAAAGCTCGGTCAGGTAACAACAGGAACGCAGATAATTTCACTAATTTTTGAATATATTGGGGAGAAATTTATGATTTTTTTACTTTGTTGACATTTCAGCATCCACAAAGTGGTCTCACGAGTCGATATCTGGTGGTGTAGTTGTTGGTGGAGGGGGGTACAAAGCACATTCATCGTTAATCCTTGACTTCACTTGTAAGGCTTGGTTTGACAGCCACCTCACCGGCGTCGGTGGCTCCTCCATCGCCTTCCTCTTCCAATGTTTCAGTAAGAATTATTTCTATTTGCAGTATTTTTTTCTAGGGTTAGTCTGTCTTCAGTGAGACTTTTCTTGCAACAAAAACACAACAGCACCTTGTAAGTTGCTCATTACTTCTTTCCATTCTTATCTTCACTTCACTATTTTCATAACAACTTATCTTTATTTATTTATTTGTAATCATTATTACTTTCTAAAGATACCAACTTTTTAATCAAGTGTGGTGGTTCAGGAGTAAGGTGCAATGACATACAGTTCGATACCGATAACTCTACAGCCTTGGGACATGCATCCTACTATTTATTTCAAGAAAAATGGGTTGTAAGCAATGGTGCTATAGTAATTGACAGAAAAGACCCTTCATTCATACAAACCACATCAATACAAGTCAACAAAACAAGATACCCTGAGCTTTTTAGAACTTCAAGAAAGTCTCCAAGGTACCTTAGATACTATGGTTTAGGGGTGCAAAATGGTCCTTATATTGTAACCCTTTTCTTTGCTGAAACTGTCTTCAGTTTAACCACTAGTATCTAGAATGTTCATCCCATGCGTCTCTTTAATATTTACATCCAAGTTAGACTGCTATTTTAGATTATATTTTTCCATTTCTTATTAATGAGGCTATTTTGATCTCTTTTTTTTTTTTTACAATGTTCTTCAGGTAAATCAGGAACAAAAGGATTTTGATATATCAAAGGAAGCAGGAATCAATGACAAATTTTCATTTTAGGGGTTTTCAAAAGCTAAAATTACTTATTTGCCATTTATGATCTTTTTGCAGGCATCTTACCTTCCACCCTCTATAAGCATTAAACAGACCCTAAAGCCTATATGGGTTGCATGAAATCAGGACCTGTTATTTCTCTAAAGTAACCTCTCCATTCTTTTACTAAGAATTACGATTTTCATGAGATAAATGGATAAACCTTTTGTGTTATGTAGGAATGCTAAATAACATTCACAGGGGAAAATCACAACATATTGGAATCACATAAGAATGGAATGCCAATTCCATTGAAAATGAGGTGGGAATATTACAAAAGAGAAGATGGAAATGATGCAAGAGGTAATCAAGCTATAATTACAACGTGGGACACATAAGTATATAGAAACAGTGAACGAAAAGCTCCAACCTGCTGAAAACAGACAAAAGGTAATGGTTTCATCTTTGTCTAAAATTTTCAATATTCCAACACTCTTTTAAGTGTTTTTTTTTTCATTTTACCAGTCAAGGGTTTGACAAGAACGTATAAAATCGAACCTTATGGTTCTTGAAATCTTTGGTAACTTTCTCTTAGCATCTCTACTTCTTTTCCTTTATTTTTACTCTTGTTTCAATCATGTTTTTTACTATGTCGTCTTTGCCCTATATTGTGATGTTTATTAGTTCAGTTAGTGATTTACATTATGAGTAGTATCATTGAAGTTGCTAATGTTGAGATGATGCCAACAGTTCCTGAAACTGCATGTGACGTTGTAAAAACACTCTTATGTGTCCTTTGAGGCAAAAGAGTAATGGCCAATTATCGACATTAATAAGTTATCTCCCACAAACAATTTCACCATGAAAATATAGTTGAAAGTTTTTTTTAAACTTACCATAACTTTGAAACCAAATGCAATCGGTTTGCAAATTTTTCTTTTGTATTTTGATGGTTTAAAATCCAATTATCGATCATGGAGGCTTTACTTGCTTTGACATATCTTATCAACAAAATAGTTATTTCATTTTCTGATTGTCTTATCAACTTTTTTAGTTAGTATCATGCTTAATTCATTGTTTATTTTTGTTTTCTCCATTTGCCTTGATACTATCCAAAGTGTCTGTTAAGCATTTATGAATCTTTGTGTCTATTTGAAATTTTGAAGTACTCATAAATTGTTAATAGTGAATGATCTGTTCTTCCTTCTTGAAAAAAAAAATTAAAGTCCTATTTTTATTGGTTTGTTTTACTAGCAAACTGATAAACATTGTGCTCATCAAGTCCAATGTTGTGTTGTTTATAAATTTTTTTGTTTGCACTTTGCAGGGACTACAGGGAGCCCAAAGGTTGTCATGTTAATCCATTCACCTTTGGTTGCACAATATCGATTGTTGATCTTTTAATACACTAAATACCAATGTACTTTCCATTTACATGTTTTTGTTTCTGCATCTTCTCAAAAATAAGAAATGGAAATCTTTCATGAAATTGGAGAAATCCATCTTTATTCTTTACTCTTGGATGTATAGATAAAGTAAAATATCTATTTGCACTAAATAGCAACATACTTTCATTTCCAATCATGTCGTTTTCTTATCCGTTTCCAACCCTGCAAAGCAGGGTTTCTTCCCTAGTTTATTCTAAATAATATTCTATCAAAAAGTCATTTTTGACGTTTATTGTCCCTAAACTGATTAGACCGAATATGCAGGCGTTACAGGTTCCTACATAATTAAATATTCTGGAAATGGGTTCAAAACATGCAAAAGTGAAACACAATAACGAATAAAACAACTTTGATAGCAACAAATGCTTTTTATTAAGTGTCTACAAAATAAAATTAAAGGATTTATAATTTATATTGTTATATGTTTATAAATTAAAACAAACTATTCTAAGTGTGCTTAAGTCAAATCACTTGTAAATTAAATGCCTCATGATCGAGTATTACTGTCAGAGTTATTGACTTAACGAATAGGTTGATGTTATGGATGATGATGGTATTGACCCTAAATATGGTAAGGTGTATCGCAGGAAGAATAAAGAGGCATCTAGAATTTAGAATATTTAAATAAGTTAAGATAATTATTTACTTTTTGGTGTGGGAGTTATTTAAGGTTAGGATTGAGTTTTTTAGTTTCCATGTTTAAAGTATTTTCTATCCCTATTTAAAGAGTGATTCTGGAAGAAATAAAGGCACGCTGGAAATCAATTATTTTAATTCTCTTAGAATAGGTTAACCTAATCTCCTCTCCAGGGAGATTAGGTCTTATTAGTATTCACGACTGCAGGAAGCACAACAACAAGACCTGTCACGAGATCAAAATCCCGGGGCATATCAAGTTTGGTATCAGAGCCGCTCATGATGTCGACAAAACAAGAAGAGCTGATGAAGAAATTAGAAGCGTTCATGATCCAACAAACACAAAGCAACAATGATTTGAAGACAAGCACCAATGATTTAAAGGCGGCTATGACAGCCTTGCAGACTAAGCAAGCAATAGTGGAAGAGGGATTGTAAAACCTAACCCATAACAAATATTGCAAAGAAGAAGAAGACAATGAAAGCGTGGACAAGATGTTCGAGTTAGAAAAATTCGATGACCCTTCGGAACAGGTGCGTGGCAGGGGACGTGGCGCCACCTTTGGTGCCAATCCAAACAGTAAGTTTTCGTACCTAGGAGGCTGGGCTGGAAGAGGTAGGGGTTTGACCCAAGATGGAGCAGGAAGAGGATCGAGCAAGGTTTTTGATTCATGGCGGACAGCCGAATCCCTTCCTTTCAAACACAATTGGGACTCCCTCAAACTGGAAGGGTCAAACAGAAGGGATCATGGGGCATCAAAAGACTAGGAAGAGACAGAAGATACGGGATATCGTGGGGGAAGGGTACCGAGATTCGCTAAGATGGAGTTTCCCACATACGATGGGAGGGGTAATCCAATCGAATGGCTGCAAAGATGTGAAGACTTCTTCGAAGAAAAACAAACCCCGACTGAATCTTGGGTTAGGCAGGCCACCTTTTCACTACAAGGACAAGCTAGTGGGTGGTACCATAACCTACGAAGAATGAAGAACCGCTTGAATTGGTTCAAGTTCTCAAAAGAGTGCAAAATCAGATTTGGACCTCCGATGAGCATGAACCCCTTAGGCGAGTTAACCCGCCTAAGGCAAACAGGTACAGTGGAAGACTATTGTGAAGGATTTGAGTCGTTCCTGAGGCGAACGACGGGGGTGACTCCGAAGCAAAGTTTTTGGCATTTTTGCGCAGGATTGACTAATGCTATCCGGTACGAAGTAGAGCTTGCTAGACCCGCCACATTATACTATGCCATGAATTTAGCTAGACAGGTTGAGTACAAACTAGCAGAGGAGGGACGACCAAGGAGTTTTGGAGCACCTCTGTCATATAAAAACTAAAATCAGGAATCAAATAACATCGGGGGAACCCATACTACGAAATCTGAAGTTAAGAATCTGTCTTTTAAACCACTCACAACAACAGAAATGGTTGAAATATGAGCCAAAGGCTTATGTTTTAAGTGCGATGAGATGTTCTCAATCGGACACAAATGCGCAAAGTTGTTTTGTATTATGATGGCAGATGAGGAAGAGGAGGAGGGCTATGATGAAGATACTCCCATAATTTCATTAAATGCAATCAGAGGCGAGAAGAAGGACCAAACCTTTCAGGTTCGGGCTAAGATTGGTAATGGGGTTCCTTGGGTACTTCTAGACAGTGGGAGCACCCACAATTTCATAGAAGGAAGGGCAGTGGAACAGCTCGGTGTGCCAATCCAACACCGACCCGGGCTCCGAGTTGCATTACCCGACGGTGGTCAAATAACTAGTAGTGGGATTAGCAGGGATTTTCCAATAGAAGTACAGGGGTTTGAATTCAGTGCAGATATGTTTGCCATTCCCTTAGAAGGGTTTGATATAGTATTGGGGATCTGGTGGCTACAACAACTCGGGAAGATATTATGGGATTTCACAGTCCGGGAAATGGAGTTCACAGTTAACGGGAAGAATATTAAATGGTTTGGTGAGTCCTCCGACACAACAAGCTTGGCAGCTCTCACCACAAATGATAACCTAGAACCAAATTTAGATGAACCTTTGGATGAATTTTAAGATATTTTTAAAACGCCTCAAGGGCTGCCTCCCTCGCGGTCCAGTGACCACCGAATCTGTCTCAAGGCCAACATCGAACCAGTGGCTGTCCGTCCTTATCGGTACCCCATCTTCTCAAAGGTGAAATAGAAAAACAATGTGCAGAGATGTTGAGAAGTGGAACTATCAGACCTAGTCAATCCCCGTTTTCCTCACCCGTACTCCTAGTAAAAAAACATGATAAAACATGGCATTTATGTGTGGATTACAGGGAGCTCAACTCAAAAACAGTGAAAGATAGATTTCCGATACTGGTGGTTGAAGAGCTCCTCGATGAGTTGCGTGGTGCGTCGGTTTTTACCAAGTTAGATCTAATGTCGGGATACCATCATGTACGCATGTTTCCGGACGATATTAAGAAGACTACATTTTGCACTCACCATGGACACTTTGAATTTCTCGTGATGCCCTTCAGGTTATCCAACGCCCCCTCGACATTCCAAATCTTGATGAACGAAGTCTTCCATGCGTATCTACGTAAATGTGTTCTCGTTTTTTTTTATGATATTTTAGTGTATAGCTCCTCTATGTCTGACCATTTGGCTCACCTTCGAATTGTTTTTAAGGTATTACGGGCACACAACTTATTTTAGAAGCGATCTAAATGCACTTTTGGAAGCCGAGAAGTAACTTATTTGGGACACATAGTTCGTGAAAATCGGGTAGCAGTCTATCAAACAAAGATAGAAGCCATTCGTGATTGGCCAAAACCGCAGAACGTTCGAACCTTGCATGGGTTTCTCGGGTTAACAGGGTACTATCGTAAGTTTATCAAGGATTACGGGGTCATCGCGGGTCCGTTGACAAGTATGTTACGCCGTAACAGTTTTGTGTGGGGCCTCGAGTCCGAATTTGCCTTTAACCAGTTGAAAGAAGCGCTCTCCAACTCCCCAGTTCTTGCATTACCAAATTTCACAGCAACTTTTATCGTTGAGTGTGACGCATCAGGTAGTGGAATTGGCGCCATATTGCAGAAGAACAATCATCCGGTGTCTTTCTTTATTCGGAAATTGGTTGATCGACACCACAAGCTTCCGGCCTATGAACGAGAGCTAATTGGGTTGGCCAAAGCGGTGGTTCATTGGCGACCCTACTTATGGGGTCGACACTTTTTGATCAAAACCGACCACTACAGCCTCAAGTTTTTGCTTGATCAACGGCTAACCACCTCTCCACAGCAACATTGGGTCAACAAATTACTTGGGTTTGACTTTACTGTTGAATATAGAGTGGGGTCATTAAACCGAGCCGCCGATGCGCTGTCAAGGAGGGAGGATCAAAACGAAACCGAAGAACTCTTTTTGATGTCAGATTTGCAACCAAAAATATTCGACACTCTACGCGTTGAAATTGAAACGGATGATGAACTCCGGGAGTTGCGAAGAAGGATAATCGACGGGATTGAGGATAGTAAGTGGGCTGTTAAGGATGGGCTAATCATTCATGATGGTCGGGTGTATTTAAAATCTAGCTCTCCTCTAGTAGCCGAAGTGATTTCAGTGGTTCATAATGCCATGCATGAAGGGGTACAGAAGACGATGGAACGAATACGCAGTGATTTTTATTGGAAGGGTTGGAAGGCTTCCATCCAAGTTTTTTTTCGACAATGTGTTGTGTGTCAGTGGAACAAGTGGGAAACCCTACAACCAGCTGGAATACTTCAGCCCTTACCCATTCCAGAGTCAGTTTGGTCGGATATATCAATGGATTTTGTCAAGGCATTACCCAAGGTGTCAGGTAAATCAGTCTTGCTGGTGGTAGTAGATCGATATTCTAAGTATGGCCACTTCATTCCTTTGGGACACCCATATACTGCTAAGTCTGTTGCTAAAGTTTTCTTTATGGAGGTTTTTCGTTTGCATGGGCTGCCAGAAACGATAGTCTCAGACAGGGACAAGGTGTTTCATAGTGCCTTTTGGAAAGAGTTGTTTCGCCTATCTGGATCCCAGTTAGCTTTCTCCACAGCATATCATCCTCAAAATGACAGTCAAACTGAGGTAGTCAACCGTACTGTTGAGATGTATTTACGATGTTTGACGGGTGATAAACCTCGCTCATGGGTGGCCTGGTTACCATGGGTTGAGTACTATTATAACACTTCTTACCATACTTCGTTGAAGACTACACCATTTAAGTTGGTGTATGGACAGGATCCTCCCAAATTACTCAATTATGTTGCAGGTCATTCTAAAGTTGAAGCTGTGGATCAGATGCTTATTGATAGATCTGAATTTTTAGCTATGGCCAAAGTCAGGCTTGCTGAAGCTCAACAACGCATGAAATTGACTTATGACAATCACCATCAACACCTAGAATTTCAAGAAGGCGATTGGGTTTGGTTAAAACTCCAACCTTATCGGCAACTCACTGTAGCCAAGTCTAAGTTCACCAAACTTTCACCAAAGTTTTATGGACCATTCCAAGTGATGCAACGAATTGGATCTGTTGCATATCGGTTAGCACTTCCGGAGGGTAGTCGCATCCACAATGTGTTTCATATATCTTTGTTAAAACCCCACAAAGGAAATCCTCTAGAAGTTTTTACTGCTTTACCACCTCTTGTTGATGGAAAAACTTTGCTACAACCTTATAAAGTGTTGCATGCTCGTTAGTATGAAGGAGTTCCTGAGTTACTGATTCAGTGGTCTAGAGAAGATGAAAATAGTGCGACTTGGGAAAGGCGGGAAACATTTTTAGAAGCTTATCCTGATTATGAGCTTGAGGACAAGCTCAAATTGGAGGGAGGGAGTAATGTTATGGATGATGGTGGTATTGACCCTAAATATGGTAAGGTGTATCGCAGGAAGAATAAAGAGGCATCCAGAATTTAGAATAGTTAAATAAATTAAGATAATTATTTACTTTTTGGTGTGGGAGTTATTTAAGGTTAGGATTGAGTTTTTTAGTTTCCATGTTTAAAGTATTTTCTATCCCTATTTAAAGGGTGATTCTGGATGAAATAAAGGCACACTTGAAATCAATTATTTTAATTCTCTTAGAGTAGTTTAACCTAATCTCCTCTCCAGGGAGATTAGGTCTTATTAGTATTCACGGCTGCAAAAAACACAACAGCAGGACCTGTCACGAGATCAAAATCCTGGGGCATATCAGTTGACAAGATTTTCTTTTGATATGATTATATTGGCTATGATGTCCTAAACAATTACCAAATATGATGGTACTTACTGAGTATGTGTCATGTGAGCTTGTGCAACTTGGGATCAATACCCGAGGTAACTACACTCTTATAGTCACAAGAACGTTCATATGGACCCATCAACGATTGAATTCAATTATCGAACAATTATCCAATCTCTGGCTGCTAGATGTTGTGCAGTAAAATACTAAATATATCAAATTCCTCATCCGCCGACTTTTCAAAGAGATATCTCTTATAAAAAAAACATGTACAATTGGGAGTTGTAATATATGATTAAATATTAATAAAAATAATTTTTAATGTACAATAGGGAGTTGTAATATATGATTAAATATTAATAAAAATAATTTTTAAATATAACTATAGGGAGTTGTAACTTTGTACTCGTTTTATGTATGCATAATGGCAATAAAAAATGTTTTGTTGACATTATCTATCTATCCTTTTTCCTCGATATCATTTCAAGAATTCAAGTGGATGAGAAATGATATTCACACGTTTTTTTTAAATAGAATAAAAA